CTCCTCAGCTGGAAACTCACCTCCAGAGAGACACCCCCCTGAACAACCCCCCACCGTGCCCCATCAGGCGTGTTTAAAAACACGTTTGTCTGATTTCTGTTCACTTATTACCACCTGAAATGATGGGCATGTTTTGTTTGTGACTTCACTGACTCCCCCAACCAGAACAGATGCTCCATGGACAGGGAACCTTCTGTCTCATTCATTACTGTACCTTTACTTCAGCATCTAGCACAAAGGCTGGCTGCCTCCTGGCCCCAACCCTACTGAATTAGCAAACGGATTTCCTTCTGCCCACTACTCATTTTCCTCATGAGCTCTGTTCGCAATCTTTAGGGGCCCCAGCATCATTTCTAAATAATATGAATGTAACTCTCTTCCCTTATCCCCCCTGTTAACTGATCAAAGAAAGTCAAGTACCTGGGTGGTGGTTGCAGGCTGAGCTGCCAGGAGTTTTCCCTGTGATGCCTTTGATCTTCAGGTCCTGAGAGGGATCTCAAGTAAATCAGGGTTTGCTCCCACCTAAGTAGAGCCAACTTCACAAATATCCAGACTGACAAATCTTTACTGAGAGATGTTTTTATTACAACTCCCAGGGCATCTCAGTGTCTGAGTAGAGGCCATTAACTAACTGACAGTGAAGCTGGTAAGGGTCGGGGAAAGGGAGGCAGAGAAGCTAAAATTAAATGACAAGGTGCCTTGTCGACTGGAGTAGATTCAGAAATGACAAACCATCTTGGGAACCAATGGGAAAGAGAAAACCAAATAATGAGAATTCAAATTTTCCAGAACACTACTGATGCAGAAGGAGATATTTCATTTTTGTTGCTTGCAAATAAATTTTCTATCGGGTCCACTGCTTAAACCATTTTACCCACAATTCTTTGTCTGTCAAAGAATTACTCACTGTCCTTCCTGCTTCCTACCCTCCCTCCATCTATCTGGTGCTCTGCATCTGTGGATAACGTGTACGAAGCACTTCTCTCTCTCTCTCTCTCTCTCTCTCTCTCTTTTTCTCTTTTCCTTCCTTCCCCCCTTCCTCCCTTCCTTCCTACCTGTCTATCTATCTGTCCAGGGACCCTGGGTTGCTTACACCAAGCCCACCCCTTCAGCTCTGCCTGAGCATTAGCAAATCTTTTTACTGGTCGAGACAACTGGGACAGTGAGCTAGAGGTTGAGAAAATAAATTCTAATGTCATATGGTCCTGAGACTGACACCCACCAATGCTACACACTTCCTATGATCTTCCTATGATCTTGGGCAAATTCCTTAACCTCTGTTCCTCACCTGGAAATTGGGAACCATAAGAGCACCTACGTATCAGGGCTCTTGAAGAGTCGAAGGGAGAAGCCAGTTCCTGGCAAATGGCACATATCAGGGACAGTGGGGATCATGATCATGCCACCAAAATTGAAACTGCTCTGACTTTTTTTTCCCATTTCTAGCACACCTGGTTCCTGGGTAACCACCACCTGGAGACTAGGGAAAAATTCACCACTGCAAGTCAGGCTTTCTTGGTACACCCCAGGGACTGCCTGCCCAGGGGAAAGCTGACACCAGGATCCCAGCCTTCCTGGGCTTCCTCATTCTATTAATCTGAGAGGCCTGCTGATGCCAACAGATGCAAAGCTCTGCTGTGCTAACAGCAGAGAGCATTAGAGGAGTCCTCAGCACCCAATCAATCCATCTCCAACTCAGAACAGCTGCGCAGGGACAGATTCACCAAGCATGGGAAGGGCCTGATGCAATGAATACCAGGAGGAGGGGGGGGGACAGGGAGGGAAGGGCCCCCGGTCCTGAGCAAGTGAAGTCACTGTGATGTACGAACATGGCTGGCTGTAAAATCTAAAAGTCAGGTCCATTTGTGGCACCTGTGCTCCAGGATAGAGCAGGTGATTCTTTTCTAAGAAGCAAAGGATGCTGGGAAAAGGAAATGGACACTGACCCAGGGCTCAGAGCACATCTGCCAGTTCCTCTGCATGGCTAGTTCTTCCAGGCTCAGCCACATCTGCCGTCTTGCTTGTGCCATATGGGTAATATTTGGGGCACCACTTTCTGCCAGAGAATGCTTTTTTGCTCCTCTTGTCTGACCTGCCTGCCGGCAGCTGAATAGAATCCCATTTTGAGTCACATGATGGGCTGAGACCCAGCACTGAGTAAGATCTGGCCACAGACTTGTGCCAACAATTAAAAAAAAAATCTGGTCGGGTTCCAACGTCTCTTTAACATGGGAAATCAGAACTCAGGGAAAGACAACAACATCCTACGGCTCCCCAAAGGCCAAGAACCAGATGAGACTGATGGAGTGTTGTTTGGAGACAAATTGAGTCATTTCCCCAGTGGCGTGGCACACATGCAGAAAGCCTGTCTCGTGCCATGGCTGGCTGCAGGTCGAGGCTCGGGTCTCTTGGCCTAATGGCTGTGACTCTGAGAGGCCACTGTGTAGGGGTGAGCTGTCACACTCACAGTGTGCTGACCAAAGCCGCCGGCATGTGATTGGCCTTTCCCATGGAGGCTCTGAAGGGCTGATTAGATGGTTTCCATAGTGAAGGATCCAGGAGGGCCAAGGACAGAACGGTCTGGCGTAGAGCCACTCCGCTCCCAGGAGGTAAGATCTGGCTTATAGAATTCTGGACACAGACTATTTTCCCAGGGGTATCCCTCAGTCTAATGAGTTTTCCTTGTGGGGAGGAACTGATAAAGAAGAGAAGAACCATCATTTTTTAAAGCGCCCTGGAAGTTCCCTCCCAGTCTGCTGGGTTGCCTGGAGGGACCTGTTCCCCCAAGTGCGGCACACCCACCCCGAGAGGACTCTACATGCTTTTAGAGGTCACCCAGAGGAACTTCTACATTTTACTGACTTCATATTTATTTTCATGTTTTGTAGAAAAATATAACTAGCACATCAAACTTGTGATTTTACTAATTGTATTGATTGAAACTGTTTTTCAAGCTCAGCCCTACCGGCATCTCAGGCTGGGCAATTCCTTTCTATGGGCAGGAGGGTGGCTGGTGCATTGGGGGGTAGTGAGCAGCACCCCTGGTTTCTACCTACTAAGTGCTAGCAGTAACCCGCCCCACAAGAGGAGATAACCCAAAACGTCTCCAGACATTGCCCAATGACCTTGGGGGGTTGGAGATACTCCTGACTGGGAACCATTAGCTTAGGATAAGTCTACTTCTGACAGTAAAATAATAATAATAATAATAATAATAATAATTCAAGGAAAAATGTATTTTTAGGTTTTCATAGAACAAGTGCAATTCACCTATGGCGAACTTGGCTTAGATAATATGTGAGTGGCAGAAGTCTGGAAAAGTCAGACCAGAGTATGACCAAACAGGCAGAAGAAACTAGGTCTTCCTCTACTCCCTCAAAGTCCCACCCACTGTTCCTTCCTGCCAACTCTGTTGTCTGGTCAACCCTGAAGCCAATGTAACTAAATATGTGTGCTGGGAAATCTAAGGACAGACAAATACAAAGAAACCCTGAGAATCCACTTACCCTACAACATCTGGCCTTCCTGCTCAAGGAAGGAAGAGTTGGGGGGGGGGGTTCCTGCCTTGTACCCTTTGGGAAGACTGAGGCAGAGATGCAGTGAAAGGGCAGGACCCCCAGAAGAGAGAAGAGAGAGAGAGAGGCAGGCAGTCCTTCCCAGAGAGCTTCAGAACCACCCAGGAGCTGCTATTCATCCTTGAGATGTACCAATAGGTTTGTCTGTGTCTCACCTTCAAAAACTGTTAGCTGTGGGTCTCTGGATGGCACCCAGACTGTCTGTCTTCTCTCTTTACTCTCTGACCAATTCTCAATGATGAAGACCAAAGGTACACCACCCCCTTCAGTTCTTGTCTGAAAGGTAAACATTTCTCTTGATTTAAAGAGCTAACACTCACAAGTGCTGAGGCCAGGGGTGCCAAACTCTTTTTCACCAGGGGCCACATCAGCCTCATGGTTGCCTTCAAAGGGCTGAGTGTAACTTGAATGCCTTTACAGTTAAGGAGTAGTTACATTTATACAGTTCTAAAATTATTTTGGCCCTTTGACGGCAACCGCAAGGCTCATATGGCCCCCGGTGAAAATGAGTTTGACACCCCTGACTTATGCCTATATCAATCACTTTATGACTCTGTATTGAGAATTCCCTGTAATTCTCACCACAACCCTGCAAGGTGGGCGCTCTCGCTGTGGTAATAATTCCAGACGAGAAGAGGGAGGCCTAGAGGGTAAGTGACCTCTCAGGGCCAGAAGACATGGATCTGAAATTCCACCTGGGCCTGTTGGACTCCAAGGCCCATGCTCATGGCTGGGCTGTATCCTCTCTGTCTGGAAAGCGAAATGAGAGCCATGTCCCCTCCTTACAAGGCCCCATGTCACCTGCCTCACACAGAAACAGCATTGCCATCCAGGTTTTTCATGGCTGCTGCCCTCGCTGCCAAGGAGAGAAAGTTCTCCAGAGCCAAAGTCACGGAAGAACAACCACCTCACTGCATGGCTCCCTCTGCCTCTTCTCCCCCTTTCCGTTCACCTCCTCATGACTGCTGGTCAGAAGCACATGATGGAGGAAAACTCAAAGGAAATGCATATGGTTCTTTCTATGGTGCTTTCATTTGTTTTTATTTTTAATTGAATTTGTTGGGGTGACATGAGTTAATAAAGTGATATAGGTTTCAGGTGAACAGCGATACATCATCTGTACACTGTATTATGTGCTCACCACCAAACTCAAGTCTCCTTCCATCACCATATATCCTCACAATACCCTCTTCTACCTCCTATTGTGCTTTCAGACACTGGGTACACATGTGTGCACACACACAGTGAGCTAGTGTGTGAATCCACGTGTGCGTGCCTGCACCTCTGACAGGACAGGACAGCCTTATGTGCCTGTCCTACCTTTCTGAGCCACGGAGCCAAGAGGACAAACAGACGCCCCCTGGAGAGCAGGTGCAGGGAAGTCAGTGCAGAGATAAGTGACGAGGACCACGGGAAGATACTGACCTGGGTCTCCAGGGAGATCAGTGGACTTGGGTGTGGGTCCTGGGGGAGGAAAGGAGAAAGCACACATGAGTGCTGGGCAAATGTAACCTTTTGCCCCAGCACCATTTAAAACAAAACTAGATCTCTTCAGTGCCTAAGCAACCCACACGTAAGCTGCCCAATTCTGTCTCCCCCAGTCTGTGAGACAAGAGAACAGCGTGGCCCAATCTCCAATGTCCCCCCAATACCCAGATGGTTACAGAGGCTCAAGTTTTTCATGAAGAGGTTAAGAGGACACCTACATGGAGATCATGCAAAACAATGAAGTATAAAGAAATAGGAAATGAAGTACGTTCAATCCCTGTATGAAGGAAAAGATGGACCCATAAGAGGATTAGAAATAAACCTGAAAGAACGTAAAGTCCCAGTTAGGGGCAAGGCCAGCCACTTGCGTCTGATTTTGGAAAGAATGAGGGACAAAATGAGACAGAGATAGAGAAAGAAAAAAGCTTAATTCTTGGTTTGCAGAGCACATTCCAATGGGCTGGGGAAGATCTTTTTCAGGGGACAGAAAGCCAGAGAAAAGTCCAATTCATTCACTTTCTAAAAAAGCCAATTGACTGGAAATGCTTGGTGGTCATGTCTCGGGTCATTACACATGAACCCTCGGTGGGGGCCAGGGTGGGCACGGAGGTGGAAGGGACGGATGGGGAGGAGGGAGTGGTTTTCAGCTGGCGGTTTCCAAGAAAAACAGGAAACCTGGCACATAAAGGCTATTTTTGTCTGTACAATGTTGGCTCTGAACTTAACTGTCTTGGATTTGTAATTCTGGGAAAGCAATCTCGAGCTGCCTCTTACAGAGAATGGGCATGACACACAAACTCAGTTGGAAGCTTTGCTTTATCCAAGCCGATTTCCCAATACGGGCTTCTAGGAAGCCATTCGAATTAGACCCACCTCACTGGCCTACATGGTGAACAAGAGAGAACACATGTACGAATCATGTCATATCTGTCCTTCTGTGTCTAACTTACTTCACTTGGCATAATGTCCCCACTGTGGCGCATCGATGTTGTCACATATAGCAGGATTTCCTTCTTTTTAAAGGCTGAGTATCATTCCACTAAATGCACGTTTAGGTTGTTTACGTATCTTGGTTATTATAAACATGGCTACAATGGACACGGGAGCACATATAGTATTCCACTTACATGCAGAATCTAAAATAGTCAGACTCACAGAAGCAGAGAGTAGAATGATGGTTGCTAAGGGATTGTGGGGAGGGGGAGGGAACGGGGAATTGGAAGTTGCTCTTCAAGGAGTATGAACTTTCCGTTGAATAAGACAAACGAGCTGTACAGAACTGCCACACAACATCATACCTGCAGTCAACAATACGTTTTGTACACTTACAATTTTGTCAATAGGGTGAACCTCATGTTAAGTATTCTCATCATAATAAAAAAAAAGGACTAATAGAAAAAGTGAACCATTCTGAACCCCCTACCCTAGGTGAACTGTGGTCTGTTTACAATGACGCCTATTTATAATAATTCTGATGAGTGTCGGAGCCATGAACCCAGGGACATTTTGAGTTCTGGTCAGTTCTGACTCTTCAAGATGGGGACTGCTCTCCTGAGTTCCACTTCTGAGTCTAAATGCCAGCATTTCTTCCATGGTGAAATTGGCAGGAGAACATCTCACTCTGATTTCCACACTCCACCCAGGCACTGAATCCTTCTCATACCCCAGGAAACTACTGAGGGAACATTTCTCCCACTCTCCCCACACTGCAGCCTCGGGGGAACTGGAGGAGTCTTAGAAAGACTACTTCAAACCCTGACCAGCTCTTTCCCAACGGCAGCTATGATGGATGAGAACCCTCGCTGAGCCGCTTTTTTCAAGTGAGCAGGCTCACTAGTGTAGCTGTCCTTCACGGAGCCCCTCCACCAGCCCCCCGGTCCCTGGCACACAGGGAGTTATGCTTCCGGCTTCCCTGTGTTAAGCGAGCACACTGGGCAGGGCCCATTTTTGCCTTCAGGAGGCCAAGGCCATCCTCCTGGAGTGTGACAGGCAGCGTGAGTCAGATTGGAGGCGTGCTGCTTGGTGAGTGAGAGCATGCCACGTCTGCTCTTCAGCTCAGAGAAGGCTGTGTGTGTCTGTCTCTCTCCATTCAGATCCCACCAACGAGATTGTGATTGAAAGATAAGCTGTATCGGAGACTCACACCTTAGCCTCTTTCTCAAAGCCACATCCTTGCAGAGCACTGCATTGGGCTGCTGGGTGCGTGCCCAGATTAATTAAATTGTACTTCACAGCCCATTTGGCCATTGTTTGGGGCTTATGCTTCATTGCTCAGAATCCCAAGGCAGTGAAGAGGGGAAAACGCCATGGTGAGCCCCTAAGAACAACTTCACTAGAGAAGACCTTCCTTGGGAAACCACGGAAAAATCTTCTGTCAACTGTTTTGACAAAACCCGAGAGCCTCATGCCTGCATACAGTAATGTGCCAACTCTTTATCTGATGTTCCAAGATCAGAGACCCTATGGGGGCATGGTCAGGGGTCCAATGTTCATTAAAAAGCTTCTGGAAGACAAAAGCACAAATGCTATCTATTTAGCATGTTAATTTCCTAGCCAAGGAGATAAAGCCCTCGCAGGTGGTCAGTCATTAACATTAGGATCCACTTGCCAACAGAATTCTGCTCCCCTCCCTCTGTGCACATTTGAAATATAGGCCTCTCCCTACAGAGCCTCGGTCCAGAGGATCCTTAAGGTATGACTACTTATCTGTGAGGTCTCACTTTCAGCAACATCTTCCTTAATTGGAAAGGCTAACGAAGTGGAACGGGGTCAATGATGCTGTCTGCCTAATCCATCCTGTCTGTCTAAACTGGGATTCTTTGCTTTACAGTGAAGTAAATTCCTGTCTGTCGGAGGAAGGGCTCCTCTGGAACAAAGGGGAATTTGCAATGTGCTCGGATGCTGCAGAGTGCTTTTAGAATCTTAATGAGGTAACAGGAGCCAGGGAAGCACCTAAAGCAAGGAAAGCCCTTTCGTAGCAGGTATTGCAATGACTAAACTGGGGAAGTCAAACAGAGAACTAGGTAGACTGAATTCAGGGTCCTCATGCTCCACCACTCCCTACATCCACACCCTATGGTCATGCGATTTTGCATTTCTTTGAAGAGTGTGCTCCCTCATCCTCTGGCCTCGGCCTTGCCCATCTGACTCGCTTTGTCCAATGGGAGGTTAGCAGATATGGCATAAGCAGCAGCTTGAAATGTGCTTGTGAGATCGAGCAGGACCGACCTCTGGTGCTTTTGCCCTCAGCGCAAAGAACATGCCCCAGGTAGCCCGCTGGTCCAAGGAGGATTGGAGACACTGGGAAAAGATTTGGACCCAACCTATAGCTTGAGTCCAAGCCCAGTCTCCATCAGCCACCCACAGCCGACCTTCAGCCAAACTGTAAGCCTACTTTTCCCTCACCCTGTATATTTATTTTAACCCCTTGAGTTTAGGGCTGATCTGTTATACAGGAAGAGCCTCATTTTATTGGTCTTAACAGATACTGTGTTTTCACAAACTGAAGGTAAGATTCTCCCCCAACAAAAAGATTACAACTTGCTGAAGGCTCAGGTGATGGTTATCAATATCACATTTTTTATCAATAAAGTGGTTTTAATTAAGCTCTGTACATCATTTTTTTTAGACATGCCATTGTACACTTAATAGACAACATTAAATGTAAGCATAACTTTTATGTACACTGGGAAATCCAAAAATGTGTCCTGGGAAACCCCCAAATCCATCCTACTGTGGTCTGGAACCAAACCTGTAGTGTCTCTGAGGTGCGCCTCGGAGACGTGAGGCACCGTCCTGGCAGTACCTGACTGGTGTGTTTTCCAAAGACTGATCATGATAGAACCCAAACTTACCGCAAAAACACTCTAGCCTTGGAAGCAAAAGTTACATCTCTCCCTAAGTCTGCAAATATATCCCAGGGACCTGAAATAACAATAACTACTAGCTATGAATTATCAAGAACCTACCATGTACCAAGCTCCATGCAAGGTGTACATTAGGCCAAGCAAAGGGATACTTGACCATGAGGATCTAGTGCCACCTATGAGTTAGCCTCAGCCCTCTCTGCCGAATGCACCAGTCCTTCTGAGGTTACTGAGATGACATTACAACAACACTGATGGAGATAATCATGCAGAATCCCCTTGCCCTGAGATAAAGACAGTTTTCATTCCTCTTGTTTATTCTACACTTTATCCCACATATTCCTTGACCCAGGTTAAGAATATTCATGAAAATTAGTAATAATTAGTAACTTACTAAGGTAGTAATTAAGTAATAACTAATAACTTGTTAAGTTCTTACCAGGTTCCAGGCACCAGCTGAACCTCTACGGATTTATCACTCCATTTACCCCTTACAATGATCCAATGAGGAAGCTATTACCATTATTCCCATTTAGAGATGGGTGAACTGAAGACCGGAGGGAGGAGTAACCTGTCCTAGGTTACAGGGCAGAAGCCTGGAGGTGATCCCAGCACCCTTCCCCTGAGAAAAATATTCTCTGTTACTTCACAGTGGTTCTACTTAGAAACACAGGCCCACCTCAGACACAGCAATCTTTTAGCCTGGGTTATTTTTATCAAAAGGAAGAATACTCACAGCAAATAAAAGGTTCCACTGTAACAACTACTAGAATCCTTTTTTTAGCATGTGTCTGTTTTTAAAGGGTGTGGACATGGTTGATGGAAATTAGAACACATGTCATGACTAAAAACAAAACCCAGTCACTTTGCCACAACAGGGAACTGGGCAGAGTCAGCCACAACCAACCACACACGTTCACTGAGTTCCCATTCAGTGACTACCGCTATGCCTGGTGGGTACCACGAGGGAGACAGAAATGAGTTTAAAGTGATTCTGTGTACACGTCTGTTCCCAAAGCTAACTGTGTAACTACGGGGTGGGAGCCTGATTACAGGTCCTGGAGAAATGGGACTTGTTTGCATCTCGCAAGACTTGTTTATAAAACCGGG